TGCTTTGTTAATTCTGTTCCTCTTCACATCTTAATCCCTTTCTGTCCTGCTGAGGTTAATTCTCTGTGTGTGGTTCATCTGTCCTTCTAGTAAGCTTTGTGTATACTCAGGTGGCTTCTAGGCAGTAACTACCTTTTTCAGCAGGGTCCCTTAACTACTTCTCATCTTTACTGGTCTGCAGAGGATTTGTCCTCTCTTTATTATCTGGGTAGTGTTTCTGAGTGTAGTTCTTGGGGTGAGGGGTTTTGCCTCGCATTATTTTGAATGTATCATCCCATTCTCTTGTAGTCAGTGAGGCTTCTGTGAAGCAACCTCCTGTGAGTCTGAGGGACATCCCCTTCCTTGTGACTCTCCTCTTGCTAGTTTAAGATTCTTTGTCATGTGCTCTTGTCATTTTGACTCTAGTATGCGTTGGTGAGTGTCTGTTTGGGTTGGATCAATTATCATTTGAGCTTCCAGAATCTAGATGTCCATGTGTTTCTAAAGATTTGAGAGCTCTGGGGGATTTTTCCATGAAAAATGTTTTTCAGTGTCTTCCTCCTTTACTTCAGTTATGGGGGAAAGGTGTTTTTACTTCATGGTTTCCCATATGTTCCTAGAGTTTCTTCATTCTTATATATTGTTTTTAAATTTTTGTGTGACTAGGTGACTTCTGAAAGGAGCTTTTCTCAAATTCTGAAATTCTTCAGCCTGATATGGAAGTTTCCTTAGTATTTTTCATGTCACCAATTGAAGTTTTTACTTCCAAGCTTTCTTACTAGGTTTTGTTTTGTTTTGTTGTGATTTGTCTTTGGTGAGTGACAATTCATATCCTGAATCCTGAATTGTTTTTCTCATTTCTTTGTACTGCTTATCTCTTTCATGTCTTGCTGGGTTTCCTCCAGATTGCTGCTTAATTTTATTTTATTTGTATAGGCATTTCATAGATTTCTTTCTGGATGGTTACTTTTCCTTATGAGTATCATGTTTCCTGTCATATTTCTTGTGTCTTGATGATGTCTGCACATCTGGTGTAACATTCTATTTCTTCACATTACACAAAGTAGCTTTTGCAGGAAAGATATTTCTGTTTAGATGAGAGATAGGACATCAGTCAGAAGGATTTTTTTTTTTTTTTTTTTTTTTTTTAGTTTGGCTATAGTGTGTTCCAAAAGCAACCTTTGATTTCTTTATCTTTGATTAAGGTCAATAGTGTCTGTGTTATTTGGGGTCATGACATAGGCTTCTGTATGCTTCTGGAGACTCTACAGAGTTGATCCCTGAGTACACAGAGGTAGCATGGCAGCTTCCATAGCTTAGGTGTTGTGGGTTGTTATGAGGACAGGACTGTCTTCATGTCCTCAGGAAGGACTGCAGCAGCAGCAACAACAACAAAAACACCACTGTCTCTGCAGCCACACCTTGTGAAGGAGACCTCCAGGATGCTCAGGATATGAGTGGGAGATGCTGGGCCTGATGTGGAGCCATAGAGTGAGGCTTGGCTTTTCTTGGCTCCCCAAGATGAGCACACAGGTACTAGCATCTATAGCTCACACAAGCAGCCTTCCAGCATTCTTTTTGTGAATTATCAAAGCACATTCGTTTGGTCTGGTTTGCCTAAGATTGAAGAGCTGTGTAGTAGCCCAGAAGGCACGAGAGTGTAACATAAATATGCCATGATGTTTCCTTTTTCCTCTCATAGGTCATTGGCCAAAGTTTGCCTCTGATAAATCCTTTGAAAGTGAAACCTATATCTCTTTTTCTTCTTCTAATTTCTTCTAAGAGTATACCCACTGGGTGGATGTAGGTAAAGGAAGGTGTAGAAGCAGCCATTTGAATACCTTTGTAAGAGCTGGATCTGTTGGAAGATGCTTGAGCATGTTTGCCTTGGTCAGTGTCTTGGAGTTTTATTGCTGTGAAGAGACACCATGACCATGGTAATTCTTATAAGGAAAACGTATAATTAGGGATGGCTTACAGTTTCAGAGGCTTAGTCCGTTATTGTCATGGCAGGAAGCATGCAGGCAGAAACTGTGCTAGAGAAGAAGCTGAGAGTTCTATATCTTGATCCACAGGTAGCAGAAGGAAACTGTGAGCCATACTGGCATCACTTGAGCATAGGAGACCTCAAAACCAGACCCGACAGTGACACCCTTCCTCCAACAAGGCCACACCACCTAACAGTGCCACTCTTCATGGGCCAAGCATTCAAACACTTAAGTCTATGGGGGCTATTCTTATTCAAACCGCTACGGTCATTAAGTGGCAATTTGTAGCTGTATGTGTCAAAAGAACTTCACTGGAGCCTAAGTTAGTGTCCTCAAAGGAAAAATAGATTTCTAGAGCTCAAGATGAGCAACGAATGGTCTACACAGAGAAGCAGAGGGACTACGTCAGAGGACTCACCACTGACCACTAGAAGAAATCCTGTCAAGGAGGCAGTGGGCAGTGTTGTTCCATATCTCCTTTCAGTGCAGGTTGGAAGCAGTGTAACCAGTCCTTTATCCACACCTCCCGTTGCTGAGCACCTGACTACTTGGCAGACCCAGGCACTTGTGTTATAATGGAGACGGGATCCCTACTGCTTCAGAGCCTGACGATTAGGCAGGCACACACATAAACAAGTTTTAATAGAAACTACAGCACATTCTGTAGAGGAGAAGTGAGCTATGACTGGCATCTCAGAAAGTCCAGCGAGGGGCATCCTTCTGAACTGAGTGTTGAATGTAGGCAAAAGGAAGGGAAGCTGTGGATGGAGAAACTCACCTGAGCCTGTACTGGGCTGAAGGCACCAGGTGTCTGGGGAGAGGTGAGCCCCTGATAAGGTCGGTGTAGGGCCATAAAAGCTTTATCGGGGGGATGAGCAGAAGACTCATGCCCTCCTCTTCCCTGGCATCCCCTAGGCACCCAGCATTAACCACACCTGCCTTGCTGGGTTCTGTCTTCCACATCCCTGCCCGTCCAGACAGCCTGTCTCCCCACATCACCAAAGGAAGGTCCCATGCTCACGGGGTGGTAAGAAACCTGTTTGAGGATTATTGGAGTGGAAAATAAGGAAATGGGAAATACGGGGTTGTCTGTCAAGTAGTTCTGTATGAAGATGCCAATGGCCCTGAAAGCAAGCAGTTCAAGAAAACTGAACTGCAGCAGCTTTGCCAAGACTCAGAATGAACCTTAAAGACTTTGGGACATTGAAAATTTCTTTGGGGAAAAAAAAAATCAAGCCACAAATATCAAAAGAAGCTTTTTCAATGTGAAAAACTGGGTAGATTTAAGGTATTAAATTCTCATCCTTTTCCAGATTAATTTTGAGTCAGGCAAATAGTGCTAAATCAGTAAGCACCCAGCAGCTCTCTTGAGTGCTTACTGGAAATTCTTCATGCTTCTTTTGAAAGGCATGCAAGGCTGCTTTATGTGGCCAGGGGCCATAGGCTGTCACCTGATGCCTGATGCTTATGCCTTGACTGTGGCGACCATGTAAGGGACTTACGAGCCCTCATCTCCTTGCTGAGAATCAAATAATGAAATGACCAGAGGCTGGGATTACATAACCTCTTAGCAAAGCAGTGCATTGCACTGTGTCATCTTTCGGTGGCCCCTGTATTTCTTGTAATTCTGACTTTTTGGAAAAATTCTCCACCTACCCCCCACTTCCACCCCCAGTTTTAAATAGTGCCCACTGAGGTTCTCTGGTCTGTTAACATGCTTTATTCCCCACCCAGCAAAACTTCACTGTTTGTGAAGCATTTTCCCTTCCTGTGCGAAGATATTTTACTGACATCTCTGTGCCTTAACTTCCCCCAAAGGGACCAGCTGCAAAAAGTCAGATGTGCGTAAGTGCTGCTTTTGTTTGCTCTGGATTTGCCTTCCTGGCTCCCACATCCACACTTCCTGGGAGAACATATCCCCCTCTCGTGTAGCACATGGGCTCTCAGACACTACCCACAGCTGAAAGCACCACACCCTTGGTCCCCACAATGCCATCACTGCAGAATTGGTAGCCATCTCTGAGGCCCAGCCAGAAACGTTCCTCATCTCCCAAGATTTCAGGAGCTCACAGAACTTTCTGGTATCAGTTAGGTGGGGGTGTTTCCAGGCCTGTATTTGTCCTGTTGCTTGATTTTTTAGGTCATTCATTCAGCACATACTTACTGAGTACTTGCTGTATTCTATGCACAAATTAGAGTTTGTGTTCAAAGCTCCCAGTTGCCTGCACCCACGCCCCGGAGGCAACACCACACTGACACAGGGACCTGCTCTCTAAACCTGTTTATCTAAGCCTTCTTTTCTTTTCTTTCTTTCATTTTTTTTAGATTTATTTATTTGGTTTTTATACAGTATTCTGCCTGCATGTGTGCCTGTACACCAGAAGACAGCACCAGATCTTATTACAGATGGTTATGAGCCAGCATGTGGTTGCTGGGAATTGAACTCAGGACCTTTGGAAGAACAGCCAGTGCTCTTAACCTCTGAGTCATCTCTCCAGTCTAAGCCTTATTTCCAAGCCCATCATTTGACAGAGGATTCTAAGCTATGCTGACATGGTCCAAAACAGTGTGGTTTGAATGTTGAAATTTCTCTGAATTTTCAATGGCCTTTGAATTAAGAGAGACAACGTGTAGATGTCTGAGCTGAGAAGAAAAATGCAATGGGGAGTTTTAGTTTTCAGTTTTCCATTCAGATTGTCTTGGGCAGGTGATGTGTAAACATTTGTAATCTAAGTATGTAACTTTCACTAAGAAAAAATTAACATATTGTATAATACCATTAAGGTTTTAAGTTTGATGCCTACTGTAAGCCTTTAAGACACTTTAAGATATTGGCCTAAGGGAAGCTGTAAAACTCCTTTGAAGAGATGGAGCTGAAAGCTCGCATGGCCAGGTCTGCCCAGTGAGGCTGGCAGCCCTTGCCAAGCAGGCGTCTCCCCTCTGCAGTGTTCTCCCCGGGACAGTGCTGCTCTGTGGCCCTGTTACAGAGCCCTCCAGTTCTCACTGCTGTCTGTCCCTCTTCCTGTGTTCCAGTCTCCGTCTCCTGGCAGTTCCTCACCCCTGGGTGCTGAGTCATCAAGTATACCCCTTCACCCCGGTGACCCCACGGAAGCCTCCACAAATAAAGAGGTAGGGCACCATCTTGATTCCTCATGCCTATTTTGCTTCACCCCAATAATGCTTTATTGTTTTCACCTCTGCCCACCACGACGCAAACTACCCCGAGGAGAAATATTTTTCTCCTCAGCTGAAGGAAGTTTGTCAATGAAAGCCACGACTGACCTGTCCAGTTTGCTAGTCCTTGGCCAAACATGTCCGTTAATTGTTGAACCTGAGAATCACGCCCTCAGTGCCATCTGCAGCTCATTACAGAACTTTTGTACTACAGAAAGCTCTACTCCATATTGAATCTCAAACTATCTATCAGCATCTTTTCCCAAAGAACATTCTGTGGTGATAACATTCCATACTGTGAGGGGTATTCACTAGCCTCAGGTGCCCACAGAGCCCTTGAAACATGGCCAGTAGGCCTGGAGGACTGAAATTCTCATTTTAATCACAGGCTAGGGGCTACTCAATGAGGAGGTTATAGGGTATGCCTTGGGGACAAGTTGTGTGTTTATGGCATTCATGGGGACACGGTGAACTCTGACAGAGTTTTTAAGTGACAAGATGTGACTATGATTTCTGGGGCTTTTCAGGACTTGGTAGTCTGGGGTCAGTTGGTAAGGGAGGAGGGCTCCCCTTTCTGAGGACTAGGGGAAGAGGAAGGGGAAGAGAGAGGGCGGGTCGGACTGGGAGGAGATGAGGGAGGGATGTAAAGTAAATAAATTAAAAAAAATTAATTTAAAAATAGGGCAGATGTTTTTCCCTAAGTAGAGACAGTGTCCCCTTTGACACCCATTGCTCTCCTATCCCATGGCGGTGGGCACTGCCTATTGGGCGTCCACACTAGCAGAGCATTTCCCTGCACAGTGACTGTGTGGGCACATGTCAATCTAGCAGTAGGTGCTCCTTCATTAACACTGAGGAGATGTGGTGAAAAGGTCTGTCTCATGCTCCCTCACTGTATGATCCCTCACTGTACTAACAATTTTCTGTTAAAACTGGGGAAAACCAAGCATTGTTTTAACCCAAGTAACAGATTGTTTCTAAAATGTATGCTATTTAATAAAAGCTATACCCCTCTCTCATAAAGTTTTTCTTCAGGTGATGCTAATATTAGTCTAGAGATATGTTTTCTCCTCCTCTGCCACTGCAACAGAGGTGACAGGGTCATAGTTTCTGCTGTCCCCCTTTGCCACTACTTGATATTTTATTCATAGCACATGGATGGGTAAGAAGGAAGGGATGATTGCTGCAGTGCCAACAAAAATAACAGACATCATAATTTATTGAGCGTCTGTGGTATTCTAGGCACCAAGCTGAGCGAATCATAGACTGTATCCCACGGGAACCTTTAGTGGCTCTCCGAGGTGGCCATCACTGCCCTCATGTGTTAGTTCTAAAAGCCAGAGCTTGTGTACTTTAGCTGAGGCTACACAGCTTACAAGCCATGGTTTGAATCGAGAAGACTTGTAGGGCCAGGTATGACCTGCCAACATCTACTGGAACTAGTGTGGACACTTCTTATTGTCATGCCTATGTACTCCAAATGGAGTTCATGTGATCCCTGAAAAAACAACCTCCAAGTGTCAGCTTTAATTTCTTCTGTTGTTTTATCTAAGAAACGGTGTGTTACTGTGTAGTCCAGGCTAGCCTTGAACTCACAATCTTCTTGCCTCCTCCCATCCCGTACTGGAATTACAGGTGTTCCCTACCACATATAGCATAGCTTTTTAATGTCTAGAGAGCAACTTTATTAATTCTTGCTAAGGGTCATTTGATGTTCATCTCAGTCCACGTCTGAGAAGGCAGGTCTAACCAGGTATCTGAATATTAATCTTTCAATTATGCATCAGCTGTGACAAGCAAAGCAGATGCATTAGTCTCCCAGTTCCTACAAGGCTTGACACGTGGTTCTGCATCTCTTTAGAAATAATGATGAAAATCCTCATTGTGTGCAACAGAGATCCTTTTATTTCACAAAGCTATTTTTTAAGTATTACCCCAGAAATGAAATTGATCATGAGCTAACAAATGGAGAGTGAGTGAATGTACCAATTGCCTACCATTGTCACTCTAAAGAAATGCTGTAGCTTTTGCTAAAACAGGTTTTAGCATTCAGAGCAGTGTCCTCATAGCCCGAGAAAACTAAATCGGCTTTTTAAAGGTACCTAGAGACTAAGCCATTTCAATGAAGCCAAGTGACTTCTCATTACCCCTAGAACACCAAGAACAAGGGCAGGGAGATGGATGGGAAGTGAAGCCTTTGGCCCCTGTGAAGAAGCTAGCTGTTTCTGCATAGCATGTGATCTGATGAGAGCATGGGCCTCCTAGCGATGCTTTGCCTCAGATGCTGTGCAGTTTTCCACAAATACATTCGTATCCAAGAGCTTTGGTTCTTGCTACTAAAAGACCCAATTTCTTTGGTGTAAGGCGCCATTTCGTCCCAGTGAGAACATTTTCAGGAGGCCTACGGAAAGTCGCCCTGTGTGATCTGCCATGCAGTTAGCGTGGAATTCCTGTCACTGTCCTGAATGATGAGATGCTATCCACATAAACAATTAGCATGCAGTGTTAGAATCCTCTGCATGTTAACAGTGACACCCTAGTCCTTCCCCACAGCCTGCTCATCTAGCCCATCAGATACCCCAAAGGATGTCATCTAACAGATCAGTGTACTGAATAGATGTCCTTCTCCGAAAAGCCTAGGTTTAAATGCTCTTGTGCCTCATACTAAATCTTTAGAAATGAACATCTCGGTCATGCAAACCCTACCTTTTGCCCATTTTAGGTGTTTCTTTTTAACACGAACCTCTGATGTCCCACACATTTCAGCTACAAGTTCTGCTTTGAAGTGGAACTGAGCTCCCTGCTCTTCTCTCCTGCAGAGCTCTTTGTAGCACACGTGCTTCCGATAGGAGCCTGTGGCAAGCTTTGCCACTCCACATCCTGGCATTTAAACTTCCGGCCAGCCAGGTTCTAGGTGTGTTGCTCATCTCATCCACCAGTGCTGCAAGGCTGGCCGCTGATATGAGCTGGTATTTTAACTTACCCTTTCATTCTTATTTTAAAGAAACACATTCATGATTTTCAGAATGGAATTTTTCAACTTAAATGGATCAGTGAGAGAAAAAAAAAAAAAGATAAGAGTTTATCTTTCTTTCAACAGATATCCTTGTGTCAAAGACCTAAAGAAAACTCCAGGGAGTTGTTACTTTCAGAGTACACAGTTGTGTTATTGGTGCATTTAATAATAAATGGTTTTTCACACTGAACACATTCTTAAAATGTAAAAGATTATACATTCTTGCCGATTATACATTTTTTAAGCTGACGAACACCTCTCTGAAATGTAGAGGTATTTTGATCACTTCAAGGGCGACTCTGAGATGTAGGGAACCTGAATAGTAAAAGCATACATTTATCCACACTTCACTCCCTCTCATAAAAAAGGTCGATAGCTGGTTAACAAATGCCACTGGTGATGTATTTCTTTTTTATGTTGCATGGATGCTTGTACTAATGCATATTTCATCATGTTGTGCCCTTTTTGAAACTTCTTTGTCTTAATTACAGTCAAGAAAAAGCTTGGCTTCATTCCCAACCTACGTTGAAGGTAAGAACTGAAGAGAAAATATTGAGTACTGGGGTCACTCGTGAATCTCTTAGCATTTGGAGACACTGGATGTAAACCAGCAAGGGGGAAGGACCACAGACATGCTAACTCTGAGTAGCTTAGACTAAAATCGTAGTAACCGTGAATTCTTTGTTGTCATCACAGACCAAGGGTAGAGAGAGGCTGGGGGCTAGCCAAGTAGTAAAGCTATGCCCCAGGCATACATCTTCCCATTTCTCTGTTTTGACCACACCTTTGTTGTTGAAAAGTGAGGAAGATGCCGGGGAGGGGGGTGCACGCCTATAATCCCAGCACTTGGGAGGCAGAGGCAGGCAGATCACTGTAAGTTCAAGGCCAACCTGGTCTACAGATTGAGTCCCGGAACAGCCAGAGCTACACAGAGAAACCCTGTCTCAAAAAAAGGGGGTGGGGATTAGTTAAGTTTGTGCCCTGGCCAGCAGCTTTTCGTAGGGAACAACTCAAGGTGAGCCAGACGATTAAAAAAGAAAATAAAAGTTACTTCAGATTAAATCTTCAAGAGGGAAAGCAAATTGTTTCCACTTCAAGTTATTTCATTTCTAGAAATGGGGCTTCATTTCTAGAGGTTTCATAGTGTGAAACCTCATTCATAGAAAATACATGTTTTACTTACGATTAAAATGTCTGTTATACATAATAAGTACAGACATGCTTGAATTTGGACTGTGGATTATAGGTGACTGTGGTTAGAATTAGATGCCCCTCTATTTAAAACAGATTTGATTTAGTAGATTGGTGAGTGAGAACAGAAAAATCTGATTGTCCCTGGGATTGATCTCTACGTGAAGCCAGGAGCATCATGGTCTATCAGTTGGCAACACTGGCAGCATGTGACCTTAGCCTTGGGGTGATGTTATCTTTTTTTTTTTTTCAGATTTATTAATTTTTTATTTATACAGTATTCTGCCTGCACACCAGAAGGGGACACCAGATCTCAGTATAGATGGTTATGTGCCACTGTGTGGCTGCTGGGAACTGAACTCAGGACCTTTGGAAAAACAGCCATTGTTCTTAACCTCTGAGCCATCTCTCCAGCCCCTAGTGTTACTCAACTTATAATGTTAGAGTCTGAGGCCATTAGAGGAAGGAAATCTTTTCCTCTTGCATGAAATGTGATTTCTCCATCAGAGACCAGAGGAGAACATTTTGAGTGGGTAGAGAAGAAATAAAAAGTGTCAGGGAATGGTGTCTTCCATTATTACAGCTTTCTGTTCATCTAGCCATTCTCCCAAGCAAACACACAGTTTCTAGACACACGTGACAGGCATGAAGGTCAGCCTACCAAAGCAACTAGGATTACAGGCCTGGCCAGGAGACATTTTAGTAAATGACTGTAAGTTGCCTCTAACCAGCAAGTGGACCACATACATGAACAGTGAGAACGGGGGTTGGCATGTGGTATCCCTGCTCATGACATCATTCACCACTGTGGCTCTGTGTGTTACAGTTCCTGGACCTTGTGACCCTGAAGACTTGATCGATGGAATTATTTTTGCTGCCAATTACCTTGGTTCCACTCAGCTACTCTCAGACAAAACCCCCTCTAAAAATGTGCGCATGATGCAGGCCCAGGAAGCAGTAAGCCGGATCAAGGTGAGGAGGTCTGCATGGCCTGAGGGGTGGTGGGTGGCTAGAGGCACCGGGCAGTCAGTGTCAACCCACAGCTCTTAGAGAGTGGACTAAGATGCTGCAAGCAGGGCTTATTCCTGCCTAGCCAAAAGCCCAAGTCTTTGCATATAAACACCGTTTAGAATAAATACAGAAGGCCATGGACTTTGCCCTGGATGCCTGTAAGGGGAGGTTCCAGCATGGCTTTCTACTGAGTAGCGGCCATTGATTGAAGCAGTCTTCTGTCAGGTTCCATTCAAACTGTCTCGATGCCAGTAAAATGAACTATTTGATCAAATCTTACTTGGGTAGTCTGAAGAAGTTAAGCAAATCCCAGTTTATACTAGTTTGAACACAGTCATGATCTTTTTAAATTACTTTTATCAAGACTTTAAAGGAGAAAGCCAATTACATACATTAAGAACCAATTTCCTCTACTTTCAATAATTCACAAGTAGGTTGAGCCACTCAAAATCAGCCTATAAATACAGAACTCCAGAGTCTCCACCATAATGCCACCTACATTTACAGACACACCAGACAGCAGGGACACTGACTGTGAATTCATGCTCTCCAAATGCCCTGTGCTGTCAGCACATGAAACATACCAAGGGAGCTGGCATCACTGCTTAAACACAGAACCAAAAAATTGAAACATTAGGATCTACCAATTTATTATTTTTTTTCTAGTTTCAACTAGTTAAAACTGAATCTTCTCTGCCCCTCTCTGGTACCATAGAGCCTAGTGCTGGTATGATTATATAGGGCGAGAAAAGAACAAGAGAGGACAGTGAGAGGGCCTGATCTGTTGATAGAAGAAAAGAGACTCCTTGAGGGGCAGGGTAACAGTTGAGGAAGTGAGTCCCTTACCCACAACCTCAACAGCTCAGCCAATAAAGGCACCAGGTGTGTCAGGAAGAGAGGATGTGGGTATGGATCATGAGACTATCCTAGAGGCAGAAGGGAAGGGAGGTGCATGCCTGAGAGAAAACGTTTAAAAGGAAGAGAGATTTATTGTGGCTCATGGTTTCAGAGGTCTTGGTCCATGGCTGGTTGGCTGTGTTTTCTGGGGCTGGGATGAAACATAATAGTAAGGCAGAAAAGCATGATGGGGGCCAGTGTCATTTACCTCATGGAGACAGAAGAACATATGCCAATTCTCCATTCAAACCCTCACCAGCACCCAGCTGTATCCTTTTCTTACTTGCTGTCTCTCAGACCAATCACGAATCAAGTTGACAACAGTACCCGTTATAAGTTCATGTCTTCTCAAGCTAGCACCCTAAACAAACCTGCTCAAGCCATGACTAATCTCCAGACGAAGAAGACAGTAAGGATAACAACACTGCCAAGTCTCCCCTGGTCCATTAGATAAACTCTCAACTGTGAGCCCCTGTGAAAAGCCAGTTAAACACTCCCAACATACAATGACTCAGGGTAGACCTCCTCACTCCAAAAGGGAAGAATAGAAAAATGACAAGAAGGAATTGAACAACTGGACCTAAACCCAGACACTAACAAAGTCCTGTAGTCCCATGTCCAGCATCTGGAGGAATGTTGTGCCATTCAAAGGTCCTGGGCAGCCTCACCTGCAGCCTTGCCAATTGTAGCCCACATGGTTTGTCTCAGAAGGCTGTGCACACTGCCTGGAGCCTTGGTAGCACATATTTCCTGTTCTTGCATCTGACTTACTGCCATCTCCACTTCATCTCTTACTTTGAGGGCTCTGCACCAAGCCAGTACCACACGCACAACAGCGGTGTCTGGCACCATCCGAGCAGTAGCTGGACTTCAGTGGATCACGGCCATAGGAGCCTCTGATGTCTGGGCAACTGAGCACAGCAAAATTATTTCTATGATAATAACTTCCTAGGCATCTGCATTCACTCAGGACACCTCAGCAGCCTTCTTTTTCCAGGGAAAGCCTTTCAAGTCAATGAATATATTTATAGCCCTGAACCTACAGTGAGTAAGATCTCCCTAATTCCTGAGATGCTTTCAAGGCATCCTGTACTTACAGCAAAGTACTTCCTCTCTTTTCTGGGGATTACTTCTTAGAAACCATGCCTTCCCTTCCATAACTCCAACTTTTCCTGGACTTTAAAGCAAACTGCAAAGTTTCACATCTTTCCACCTACTGTTGCTCCCCATTCTAACCGTAAACCTGACCAAAAGCAACAGCAGTATCCATGCAATAGTCTGAATGGTAGCTGTCTGAAAATTCCCTTTGCCAACCTAACACAAGGTCTTGGGATATGACCTTGGGATATCACAGCTGCAGAGCCCATTGTCAGCTACATGTTGTTTCTGGCCTGTGGTGGGGTAGAACATTATGGCAGGAGGGTGAAAAGAAACAAGGCTGCTTGCCATATGACAGCCAGAAAGCAGACAGGCGTCAAGAATGAGTGCTTGTCTGTGCTGAAAGACTAATCTACTAAGTCGAGACCAACCATTCCAGCCAGTGTGCTGACATACACCTGCCAGCTCTTTCTCAGGAGGCTAAGACAAGAAGATGTCTGTGCTGGATCACAAGCCCAGTCTCTAAGTTAAATGAATAAGACTGAGCATCTCTAGACTGCAGCTTCCCACTCTGCATTTCCCAGGATGCTCTGTGATGTTCTCTACCTTTTCATCGCTTCCTCATTTAGCAGCTCTCCATTGCCTCTGCTGCTACAGCTTCCGAGTGGCAGTTGAGAGGGCTCAGGGCTGCCCTCTCCTTTAACTACATAGAACATGTAGTAAGCTGTAAGTTTTTAAGTCAGCATTGATCTGTTAGGCGTTAGGGTATGTGACCCGGGAAACAAGTTACAGCTGCCTCAAAGGTGGGTATTAGCGCAACACTGCTAGCAATCCTGATGTTGAGTCTGGCTTAACAGCTGCTCCATGTGTCAGAGATCTAGTCAGCCACTTCATCTGTGACACACAAACCTTGCCTGTGCCTCGAGGCCCTGTCCATGATGCGCGTGTCTTACCTTAAAATGAGCCTCATTCCAGGAAGGTCGGTTCTTTTAAGAGAAGGTCCAGCTACTCAAAGGCCTGCATCTTGCCCCTAACTCCCATCAGGGCAGCAGCATGAATGCAAAGTAGCGGTTTGACCAGCACACTTTCTGTTAGCAGTAGAGCATTGCTGGATTCTTAGTGTGTTAGCCAGCTCTGCGCCGCTGCGACGCCCACGACTGTGACAAGCACCCAAGATAAACAAGGGGGGGGGGGGTGCCTTGGCTCACACTTCCACAAGTGTTTAAGCTCATAGCCACTTGGCCATGCTGCTTTTGACTAGTTGTGGTCCAGGACATTAGGAAGTACATGGTAGAGGAGGAATCACTTCATAGTGCCCAGGGAGCAAACATAGAGGAAGGAGTCAGGGTCCTGGTGACCCTGTCAAGGTCATGCCCCCAATAACCTAACTTTCTTCCACTAAGCCCCATTTCCTAAAGGTTCCTCCCACAAGTACCAGAGGCTGGTGACCAAAGCTTTACACATGAACCTTTAGGAGAACATTTCAGATCCAAGTCACAGTAATTGGCCTAGTTCCTTTTGCTTTCCTCACCCCAAAGAGATATATTAATACCAGAAAGTTTCCTCATGGTCGTCTTCATCTTAATTTAACATTTCCCCACACAGCACTTGAAATAATGCATAAATGACTTGAGAAAAACAAGCTGGTTTTAAAATGGAGTCTCAATCCAGACTGTAAGGGGACAGGCCTGCAAACGTGCAGCACGAAGTCCTCAGGAGAGTGGTGCCATGAGCCTCCCAACAGCCAACAGACTACAGCATGCCTGGTGACTTCCTGGGCCATGGCATCTCTGGCTGTCATGCTAACACAGGGCCTTTCCTGGGCTAGAACCCAAGTTTGTTCCACACTCTGAAACCATCCAGAACAAAGCCACAGATGAGAACTGTATCAAAATACCAAGCAAGCCCTTGACCAGGGCCACTTAGGTGATCTTATCAGAAAAAAGAAACAACAGTCTGACTTTAAGGGTTCCTGGAGAGTTCCTGCAATAGAAAACTGAGGGTTGCCTTGAGGTTAGTTTCTCATTGGTTCTACCTATTAAGTCTCCCAAATCTGGCTGTATTTGGGGGTTCAGGCTTTAGTTGGGATCCCTTGTTTATTCACCTCCTGACAGCTTTGGACTCCTACATATGAGCGTCTGTGTCTTTCTATGCCTCTTATGGCACCTAAAAAGGGTTCAGATGGCATTCAGGGTAGATAGTGGTGACAGAAATGCAGACTGAAAATGGACAGAAATAGACAGAAAGCATCCTGCATGGTCATCAGCCACATCCCCTCCTCACCAGCTCCTCAGCACTAGCCATACCCAGAACTGCTTTCCTGCCTCCATGGTCGGGGCTGACAGTGTGGTTTTACCTCTAAGTCCAATTCCTTGGTGAAAGTCAGACCCTTTACTCTGAAGCTCCCACACAACCAGCACCCAGCAAACCCCCAGCTCCATTAAACCTCAAGTTAGATGGTGCTTTCAAAACAAGCAAGTGGCCAACTGATTAAATGTCTTAAACCTGCCCAGAGCACAGTAGCTATTTGAAAAACATCTTTATCTTTTACAAGTAAATTGATGTAGTATGAGGAATTCATTATAAAGTGGTAAAATTAAGTGGTTATATTTCACTTACAGCTTATAAGTATCATTCTACAATGTACTTTTGTGCGCTGGGAAGGAACTGCTGCCTGTCAATAAATATTTTCTGCTTCATGCTCCTTTTATATCCATCTAAACACTCGTCAGAACAGCACTGCAGACAGCCCAAAACCTCTCCCACTGTAAGCAGAGATGACGAGGTAGTTCATCCCAGCTTGATAGCAGCTGAGTTGGGAGCTGACTCAGACTCGATGGGAGGTAAAAGACTAGTCTGGTATATTCCCAGCAGTCCATTGGGCTCCAGAGCACTGTCATGGAGCCCACCCATGCTCAGGAGACACCATCCTCTAAGAGGCTGAGTACAGTGCTCTTCCCGACTTT